ACCACCAGAAACCTGCCCTGGCTTCCCAGCTCTGAGGATGGCTATGGCTTGGGGGGGTATCACTTCTGAAATGTGAGTTTGGGATGACATGAAAGCGTTGGTGGAACCATTTATTCCCTGGGTGCAGATAGTGCAAAAAGCCAGCCCTTTGGAATGCTGTCCCAGCACCTCGTTGCTCCTGGGGATCAGAAACCTCCTCTGCCTTGCCAGGGAGGTTTGTGGGTGATGAACAAAACCCACAGGCCGGGTCAGCTCTCAGGAAAGCAGCTGAGGTTCAACCCTTCAGATATGTGAAGTGTCTGTGATCTGTCTGGGGGACATGAAAACAAAAAGACCGAGTTTGCCAATTCCATCACACCTAAAATCAGGGTCACTCAGGGTTTAGGAACCTGAGCAGGTGTGAGCAGCATCAGTCCCTCTGTTCAGGAAGTGGCCTGTGAGCACTGGGGTTGTTTATGAAGGGTCTCTCTTGCTCTCAGGTTTTCTTTGGTACTGCTGGTGTGAGGGAGGTTCCTGGATCCTGGGGGAGTAGATGACTTGCATTTCAGTGGGTTTGCAAGCATAAAATTGTTATTCAAATTGTTGGGGTTTTTTTAATCTGCTGCTACTTGGTAATTGTGTTCCTTCTGTCTTCAGCATGGAAAGCATCCCAGAAATGACATCCTGATGTTTGTTGGCACTTGGGCAATAGAACTGCTCGGTCAGGAGCACTCCCCTATCAGCACTGTGTTTTTAATACCCAGCTGACAGTTGAAAAGCAGGGATGCAGTATTCCCAGGGGCCTGGGGAGCACAGGAAGGGGCAGCAGGGATGCAATGACACGAGAGGTTCAGGGCAGGGTTTTTTAAAAAACCAGGAAATATTGAGGTGATCTGTTTTGTGATATGGTTAGGAGAGTGCTGCTCGGGAGGATCAACACGTCAGATAAATTTAAAGCTAAATCTCAAATAAGTGTTGGGAAATACATTCAGGAGAAAATGGAAAAAATATTTGGAAAGCTTTTTTAGTTCTTAGAATCTTGTACTCACCCCCTCCATTTCAAAGGAAAATTTTGACTTAAAAGCTTTTCCAGCTCTTTTCAAGTTGAGGCAGAAGGAAAGGAGTCCAATGCTGACTAAAAACTCCTTCTGTGCAGCTTGAGCTACATGGAAAAATAAATACAGGGAAAGGGAACACGCAGAGCAGGAACATTTCTCCTGGTTTACTCACCAGAGCTGTGTGTGGAGCTCCTCAGTGTGCTCAGGATGGCTCAGGTTGTTGAGTGCAATGCTGGGTGCAGCCTGGCAGCTTAGGAGAGAGCTGCAGGGGTTGGATTGTTGGGGGTCGTGCTGTCAGACACACAGCTGAGCTGTGCTGGGGCTGTTGGATTGTTGGGGGCTGTGCTGTCAGACACACAGCTGAGCTGTGCTGGGCCTGTTGGATTGTTGGGGGCTGTGCTGGGGTCCATTACCTGGCGTTTGCCCCACGTGACGTGGCATTCTGACACTCCTCTGGCACTTGGGGCAGTGGGTTTGGTGTCCCATTCCACGTCCTGATCTGTGCTCTCCTGTCTCTGTGTCAGCTGGAGAAGAAGCAGACGACCCCTCCGTTCCAGCCGCAGATCACGGACGATTACGGCTTGGACAACTTCGACACGCAGTTCACCAGCGAGCCCGTGCAGCTCACCCCGGACGATGAGTACGTGCTGCTTCCCCCCCTGCCTGCACACTGACCACTCAGTGACCACTCAGTGACCACTCAGTGACCACTCAGTGACCACTCAGTGACCACTCAGTGACCACTCAGTGTGTCAGGCACTGCAGAGGGGCTGTGCTGGCTCAGGGCACAGCTGTGTCACTGTAAATTTGTCTGCATCACTTACACTGCTCCGGCGAACTAAACCCCTGCTTCCTTTGTTTTTCAGAGATATCATAAAGCGAATAGATCAGTCAGAATTTGAAGGATTTGAATATATTAATCCATTGTTGCTGTCAACAGAAGAAACAGTATGAAGGGCTGAGCTGGCTGGGGACAGTGGGACTGCCATTAATTTATCCTTAACTCCAGTATATGCATGCGAGGCTGGGACTGCTCACTCGGGGTGGAGACCAATGATCTGAAAACAAATCTGCTGCTGCAAATCAAAGAAGAGAGTAACGCTTTTGGTGGGTGTCCTCTGCCACTTAGTGATTCCTGAGTTCTGGGCACTGACACAACTGGCTTCATTGATGAAGGAATTTGCATTTTGTGCCTGTTTCATGAAGGATTCAAGCGTTCATTGCATCCCTGCAAAAGGAGATCACGAGAAACTCTGAGATCCACACACCTTCTACAAACACTTGATGCAATGAGCTCCCAGTTGAAGAGTATTCCAGTGTAACATCCTGAAGAATAAAGTATATTACGGTGGTGTTGAAGCTTATTTTTGATGCCTTTTTTCACAAGTGGTACCTGTCTAAACGTCTCAGATATATTTAAAAGGAGTTGTGTTTTATTAGCAATCAAAACATAAATTTGGGTACAAGATTTAAGTGCCTAAATGGATAAACTGCATTGAAGGATTATTGCATATTTGGAACGTTCTTACACCTGGTAAGTTCTGCTTGTTAATATTAAGTAACCATTTCCATCTGAAACATACAGTTCACAGCTGCAGCCTGAGGTTTAGTTGCATTTTTATGGAATTTGGAATGCAGAGTGACTCCGTGAGATTAATTCCAAATTAGAATCTACGGTATCGATTTCAAAATCTGTTGTCTTAAACTCCAAATTTACCAAAACGTAGAGATTGAAGAAAACTAAATTTGCACACACAGGATTTCTGAACATACTTAAGCAGTGCCTACACCTACAATGATGTTGTGTTGTATATTAGATTTTTGAAAAGTATTTTTATCAACAATACAGATATTCAGAAGTAGAGCAAAAGCATAATAAAGCATAGCCTTAAAGTAGTAAATCTAGAATAACCATAAGATAAAATCCATTTTGCTGATAAAGCACACCTCCTACTTCTGTAAGCTGTCTGCTTTCCTCAGTGTCCATTAACAACTCTCACTCTGCGCCACAAACGGGATGTTCCGGGAGGAGTCACATCAGTGCTGAAGCCCTTTAATGGCAGACAAACAAATGCCCAAGGAATGGGGACAGCGAGGACAAGGATCAGCTCCCTGTGGGGACAGGGGAGTGCCCGGGGTGGGGGGCTGTGGGGCTGGCACTGCTGGGTCGTGCAGACAGGAGGGAAAGGAGCGTGTGGGGAGGGAGCCAAGCAGAGAGCTGTGGCCACAGGAGCGACTGGGACACTGTCACTTTGTTTCCATTAACCTCTGGTTTTCTCAGGGTACAGCATTGCATTCGGTGCTGAACATGACATCTTTGGGATTCCCATCCAAGTCATGAGGTGCTAGGACCAGACTGCCAAAACCTTGTTTGAAGTAATTAATCACCGATTAACAATCTGTTTTGTATCCCCTCATTAGCCACAATTATGCAGAGCTGTGGTTGTTGAGTTCTAGGAATCCCATTCAGGTTTCAGTTGGGGGTTTCTCTGTTGGACTGTAGCTTTTCATATTAAGCAAGATGTGTTTTAATCAGCACTAAATAATTTAACTAGTAAGAAGTACTTGCCTCAAATGCCTGGACTTTAGATACTTTATTATCTACTAAAGGCAACATTACCTTTTAAATGTAATCTGACATTTTTTTAATTACTCCCTTTTCCCCTTCTCCCTCTTACTTTATTTACCCTGAATAACTTTTCTTTCAGTGTTTTCAGCTCCCCTGGTACTAAAGGTGATCAGGAGTGATCAGAGTGACTGCAGGCAGCTCATGAGTGGAAAAGGGACAGGTTAAGCTGTCCTTTGACATGCCAGGGCATGGAACTTTAAACTGGAAATATTAAGAAATGTGGGTTGGGGGTTTTTTTTAACCTTTTTTTCTAGGTTTCAGAACATTTTGGGAGGGAGGGAAGGAAGAACAGGAAGACACATTTTGCTAAACAAACATTGTAAAGACTACTTGATTTTTATTTAAGACTTTACAGGCATTTACAATGTTGCTGTGTTGCCAAATAGTTTGCTGGGTACAAGTTTGGTTGCTCATGTGCAAGTGTTTGAATAATGTTCTGTTCATGATGAAGGGGAAATTTTTTATATAAAGTACTTGTTTTATAAATAAAAGAAAATGAAGGATGTAATTAAATGTGTGGTTTGGAAAAAAAAAATCCTAATATATTACAAATGGATCTGGTAATGATATATAGTTGTCTTATTTGAAATAGTAAATGAAATTCTAGCTAATTTAATGATTGTAAAACAGTAAATATGTTCTTGTAGTTTTGTATAATTAATTAGTCGGGATCTTTGCTGACCAGTTTTAATTGTGCAGAAGATGGTATACTAATCCATAACAGCTGAGATCATTTATATTCTTGCACATCTATTAAAGACTTTAATGAAAAAGTGAACAGACTGTTGTTATTTATCAGTAACCTGGGCTCTGTCCAAGGTCTGCAGGAGAGCCCAGGGGGAGCAGAGTGCAGAGGAGCCCTCCTGGCTGCCCCTCCTGCCCCCCGTGTTTGTCTGTCCCTGCCTCAGCTCAGCTGCACCCCCAGAGCAGCAACTCAGCCCCCTCAGCCCCCCCAGGCTTGGGGGTCCCATCCCAGCCTTGCTGGGACTGACCCAGAACCAGCCCTGGGCTCCGGGACTGTCTCAGTCTCCCTGTGCAGTTCAGCGAGGCTGGCACGGGGTTCTCCCTGCAGCTTAATTAGAGCAGTCACGGTAATCACTTGATTAACACTGATACAGCCCAGGAAGGGTGTGAATTTAGCTGGGCTCCCTCAGAGACACGAAACCTGCACCCCCTTGGTATGGTTTGGGGGGTGTTCAAAATGGGTACTCTCGCAGAATCCACTGTACAATTACACCTTCTTAGATAGGAATGTAATGAAAATCTCTAAGCTCAAGTGACTTTTTAATCAAACTTCTTTTCACAGATTACCTGTTTAGAAAAAATACCAGTAAACTTTCAGATGAAGGTAACAGATGTCTCTTGTGCAGCTGTTTCCTCTGCACCAAGAGCTTCCCAGCTCCAGTGCCTCAGACCACGCAGGGGCTCCAGGGATTTCCAGCAGTCCCCTTTTTCAGGAGTACCAGGCTGATTTCCCTGGGGGTCTCCCCAGAGCACCATTTTCAGAACTGGAACTACTTTACCTGCATTTGAGAGGATTTAAAATAAAAAGAGCCTTGACACTTCACCTTCTACTGAGTTACTGGTTTGTGATCCGAAAGTTTGAGCTGAGGATGTGCTTCCTTGACACATTTTTCCTTTTCCTTTGAGAAAGGTTCATCCTTGGCCTTGTTCCTTCGCTCTCCATTCTCCTGGATTTACCACATGACATCCTCTGCGCTCTCAGACAAGCACCTGGCCAGGTGCCCATCGATGTCCAGCTGGGAGAGCCTGCAAACACAGGAGGTGTGCGGTGAGAAACACTCACAGCCCTTTATTGGCACTTCCTTACCCTCCCTCTCCCACGTGTCCTTAGTGGGGGTCACTCCTGTGCCCAGCAGAGCTGCACTCCCTGCAGAACTGCCTTTGCTGTGGTACCTGCTGCTGAAAGTTTTAAGGGTTGGAGGACCTGCCCAAAAACACTTTTTCAGCATCATTGGCAGCCTGAGTACCCTGACATGGTGTTGGCTGCAAGGGATGGCACAATTCCTGTTCTAGAGCAGGTACTCAGCACATGAATGGATTAAAGCAGGTAATTCTGACAATAAAGAAGAACTTTGCAGTACAAGTTTTGTCTGTTTTCGTTATTTTGCAAATAGGGAGAGCATCCAGAACCAGGCAGGGCTCTGTTTACTGGGAAGTTATAAAAACACCCACCAGCAGCAAAACCGAAACACAACCCCCCCCACACAACTTACGCTCCACTGAACTGCGTCAGGCACATGGGACAGCTGTCGAGAGCTGCAGATCCTCCACTCTGCTCTTCCAGCCTCTCCTCGCCGCTCCCGGCCCCAGGAACACTCCCTGCAGGCTCCCCGGCAGGCACAGCTCTGTCCCCCCCAGCTGGAACATCCCCCTCCCCTGGCTGGGGCTCTGTCTCACCCCCCTCTCTCCTGTCTCCCCCACTGCTCTGGGCAGCCCCCGGGAGGTGCTGCTGGGGCCTGGGAGCTCTCCCAGAGCCCGGTGCCCAGGGCCGTGCACAACTCCTGTGCCCAGGGAGTTCTCGTGGCTCAGGACTCGCTCCCAGGTTGGAAATGCCTTTTGTGCCTTCCCCAGCTGTGGTTTTGCCTTGATCTGTCCTGGTCCCCCTGCAGGTTTCCTCAGCTGTGGATGATAAGCTGGGAAGCTGATCTGCTTGGCCCCATCCTGTACGTGACTCGTTGCTCTGGCTCTGGGAGCTGAAATCCTCGGGGTCCAGACACTGTTCTGTGTGAAAAGGTGGGAATGGCACCCACGGAAAGTCTCTCATTCCTGCTGTGAAGACTTCCTGGTGTCCTGGACTCTCCTCCTCAGCACCCTACAACACACACAGCACGCCTCAAACAGATGCAGCTCAGTCAGCACATGAACACACTGCAGATACTGAGAAGGCTGAGCTACAGTGAAGAACATTTGATTTCCATCCCTCTCCAGTGCCCACAAAGCAATCCTGGAGCTGATGGAATATGTGTCTTCCCTTAACATTTCTAAACAGATGCAGTGGGGACTCGGTACGTTCCAGAGAGACTGAGGACAAAAACAACCACTTCGAGACAAAAAGTGCTTTATAAGGACTGATTTCGGTGTCGTGGCCTTGCCCAGCGCTATCAGGGCGATGCCAGGGTGGTTCCTGTGTCATTAACCCTCTGTTACAGTCTGCCTTTCCCACTCCCATCCCTCAGGAAGATCCTGGTGCTCGGGGCAGTCGCCATCCCTACACAGGCCCCCTGTTTCCAGTGAAACCTTGGAAAGGATTTGCCATACTGAAAAAAAACCAAACCACGGTAGCTGCCCTTCCACTGCTGCCACATCATTACACAGAGATCAAAGGGCTGGAACCTCACAGCTCTGAAGGCTCCTGCAGGTGGTTTCCCCATCATCCAGGCTGCCGCTGTTGGAAGCAGGACACAAAGTGCAAAAACCAAGGATACAGCACGCTACCTTTTCCAAGAACTCCGGAAGGCTGGGCACTGTGTCCCAGTTTGTGCAGTGCAGATCTTGACTGATGTTTTTCAGTAACAAAATCCAGGTTTTTTCACACTCATTTAAGTCTTCCTTTTCAAACCAGGGACATCTGTCAGTCGACGTCCTGGAAAGACAGACACAGGGGTTTGGGGGTGGGAGAGAGGAAAGGAAATACTCTGCATTGGTATTAGTTTGCCTCTTTTCTTCTGGAACACAAAGACATTATTTAACCCGTAAACTACTTTTTACAGCTTCCTATGACTTACATAACTTGTACAGCCATTAAAAAAAAAAAAAAAATCCATTTTTTTTTAAAATATCTAAACACCCTCTTTCCTCCTCGTAACAAATGAGCTGTGGATATTTATTACTTTCACTTCCAAGTGAAACAGTGCAGTGCAGATACCGGGGTTGTTTCTCAAATACTGAACTTGATGCCTGCTGAGCACAGAAATCGTGGAAATGTTTGCACTGAGGGTGGCAATTGCATCGGTGCCTACGAATCCCTGGCCATTCCCATACTGCCATTGGAAATTCTCTTTCCAAACAACTTGATTTAATGGGTCCTAGGAAGGCTTTAGGAAGTTTAACTGCAAGCATTAAAAGGGTTTTATACGAGTAGTGCCTTAGAAAGACAATTCCAAAGAGAAGGATGGATTGTTAATGTCACAATGCTATTTCCAGCCTTCCCGCTTCTTCCTGATGTGTTTTCTCGGATCAGTGTGCAGGAATGAAGCTGCACCGAGAAGAAATTAGAAGAAATTAGAAACTACAAGCCCTCAAAGAGCGGAGGGATGAACCCCCACAGCCTCTGTGGAGGGGACGCGGTGTGGGCTCATCCCCAAGGCTTCAGACAAGAACCCATCCCCTCACTGCCTCAGCCTTCGGGCCCAAGGCCCGCTGCGCTTTATGCTGCAGCTTTGTGTCTATTTTTAAAGGCGCTACGGGGGGTGTTTTATGAAATAACCTTTAACACAGTCAGTAACGAGACCCCGATCTGAGCGCCGCGGGAGGGGGGGGGGTCGTGCAGGCCCGGCCCGGGCGAGGCGCCTCCAGGCTCCGGAGCCGATCTGATCCCTCCCGGTGCCCACGGAATCCATCCCCTCCGATCCCCTCCGATGCCCGCGGTGTTTGTTGACCCGGTCCGATCCCCCCCGGCTCCGACTCACGGGCGGCGCGGGGCTGTCTCGGGGCCGGGGCCGGGCGGAGCCGCGCGGGGCTTCAGGCGCAGCTTGGCCGCTCCTTCCTCGCCCATGGCCGGGGCTCCCCGGCGAGGTCTACTCCTCCCGCCTCTCTCCTCCTGGCAAAACCAGCACAAAAAGGGCTGTTTCCGACGCAGACCAGCCCCCTCGGGCGAGACGGGCGGGCGCGCTCCCCTCAGAGCGCCCTCAGAGCCGCCACGGCCGCGCCAGGCGCGGCCGTGGCGGCTCTGAGGGCGCTCTGAGGGGAGCGCGCCCGCCCGTCTCGCCCGCAAGCCCGTCTCGCCTTAGAGGGCTGGTCTGCCTCGAAAAACAGCCCTTTTTGTGCTGGTTTTGCCGCTCGCCATCGCTGTTATCGCAGCGGTTCGGTGTGCTCGGGAGCCCCCGGCTCTGAGGGCACAAGATGGCGGCGGGCTGAGCGCTGCCGCCATGGCCCCGCCGAGCCCGGGCCGGGCCCGCTGCTGCCGCTGGGCACCCAAATTATAAAACTCTGGGAGCCACCGCTGCTCTAACTTGTCTTGCGGGAGAGAGTCTGAAGTGATGCGGTTTGACGTTTGCTGGCGGGAATGTCGCTGGGTGACTCGAAGTAAAAGAGCGTGCCAGGGTGGGTTTAAACGCTCATCTGGCCTTCTCAGAAACACGTCAGGGAAACGGTGACACACACTTCGTCCTCCAGCGGCAGATGAGAGAATCACAAAGTGACTCTGCTGTTTAAATTCTTCACGGTCGATATGAGAATAGCTGTGCAAGGAAATAAAAAAATCCTGTTTGGTAACAGGTGTTTATGAGGGAGAGTGGGGTGCAAAGCGGCCTTTTCCATAAAACCGATTTGTTATTGGTAAAAAATGAATCCAAGTTCACGTTCCTTTTCTGCAACTGAATTTGTGCACCGCTGGGTGTCTGTGGACTGTTTCATCCTTGAATTCTTCAGAGTGAAAAGGAGGCATCAATGTTGACTGTACTGAAGTCACACCTGTGAATTATCATGTTGATCACACAGCCCAGCGAAAAGTCATTACTTTAATGGTTTGACCCGACTTAAAACACGTCTTGAGCAGAACTGAACCATGAAAGTGGCATTTGGGTGTCAGGGTTTTGAGATTCACATTCCACCTGGACTGGTGGATTGAACCCGAGCAGGGACAGCTCCAGCCACGCACATCCCGTGGTTTTCCAGCTGAAGATGATCCAGTCAGTGCAGCCCGAGATCTGGGAGGCTCAGCCCAGCTTTCACCTTTCCCATATTAACTCAGGTACTTCATGTTTCTGTGAGTTCATCATGTCTTTGACTCTATGTAATAACTGATTTCTTAATATATATAGCATTAACGGGTCTCCTTTTTGTATAAGAGTGAGGATAAAGGTGTTGGAAGTGGGAAGTGTTTGGTTACTGCTGGGATCTGTGTCAGCTTCTACAACAGACATCCCAGCTGAAAAATAAAAATAATAACAAATAGTTACAGTAGAGTGCCAGCATTTTGGCTGTGTGATGGGCAGACTAAAATGAGGATGAACATGGGAAAGAAATTACGGTGGAAAAGCCAGTTGCTCTCACACAGACTAACATTTTCCCACTTTAATATCTGTTACAGCTCCTGCAGTGCCAAGGGAACACCGGGGCAGTCACAGTGTTCTGCCTGTCGTTTTGGTTGCCATTTAGAACGAGATTCCAAGAAACAGGTCCTCCTCTCCTCCTTTGCCAGGAAGGGCGTTCTCCCAGAAGCTGCAGGTGGAACAAGGTAAGCTGAACAGGGGTGAGTTGGGATCTGAGGGTGTTAGGCCTGCTGTGGAGAGGAAGGTGACGGCAGCAGGGATGGAGCAAAGAAGGGCAAGAGAAAGAGTGTGTAAATAAAGCAAAAGTGGAGATTGGAGAGGGGATCGGCCATGGGAGGGGTGGGAAATGAGATGACAGAGGAGGGGTAGAAATTCGGTTTCACAATGAGCTGAAGAAGTGTTCCTTGGGGGTTTTTGCTCAAGATCGCTGTGAATCGTGGCCCAGCGCTGGCTGTGGCCACGTGGAGGCAGCAAACTATGCAGAAATGGGGATTTAACGAAACCTGGGGGCAGTGAAAGCTCTCGCACGGAGCCTCCGAACACTCTTGTAGTGTACCTATGTCAGTGACTGGTTATGCCAAGGGGCTTCTTTTATTCCTGTGATGTTTGGGTTGGTGTTTTATCTGGCGACCCCTGTGGCAATCCTCTGCTCCTAAAGCAGGTGTAGCACCCGCAGGTCGCTGTTGTTAGGTGTGACCTCTCCCAGCCCAACCCTCAGCAGTGCAGCAGTTGTTGGTGCCATAGCCGGGCACTGCAGCGTTGGCAAGAGCTGTGCTGGGGGTGAACATGAAAGCTGGTTATTATTGTGCACTGAGGGCCACAAGTGAAAGAATGCAAGAAAAAGGATAGTGAAAATGATTACTGCAGCTTCTGGCTGTGAGAAGCAGCAGGGAAAACCTTGCTTCTGGAGCAGCTGGGCTTTGTGGGTGGGTTTGTATTTTGTGGATTTAACTGAAAATGGTAAGATTTTTTGGTTATGTGTTTAATGCATACCCGTTCTAACCTGGGAGGGCAGGCGTGTCGTGAATGTTCTCATTCTTGCTCTACCTGTGGATTTCCAACTAGCATGCTAGAAACCTTTGGCCACTCAGGGTACTCAGTATTTATCATCTGCATCTTTCCACAATTAATGCATCTTTCCACAAACATGAAGGTGAAGTGCGGACTGGGACCCGCTCTTGGGTTTGCCACTTTGCACAAGATCCTATCTACTGTTTCCTCCATTGCATGGGAATCCTGTTACTTCTCACTTGACCTTGGGTCTTGCGTAATTTAATAATTAGAATGTTTTAGGAAAAAAGTTCTCCTAGGAATGCAGAGAGCAGTCTTTACCATAATCAGCCTTGGCTGGACTGGAGCCAGTGGTCAAGGGATTTGAGCCTGTGGAAGCCAGAATGCTCCTACAGATTATCTGCAGGGATTTCCTTGTAAATGGAGTGCCAGCATGTGTAGTTATCTCTTCCCCGTTGAGTCTCATCAAGCTGCACACGCTTAATCTTTACTTACATGGTCCCTGGTCCTTGCTCCAAAGTGGGCCTCAGTTTTAACTTTTGCTCTCAGGAAGAAGGAGCTACTATAACAAATTCTAATCCTTTTGCAACTCCACAATCACTAAAGCCTATAAATTGCCTGCCAAACAAACCAAGTGATCTTTTCCTGGGCTGAGGGAAAGCGGAGAGTGTAAAACGCAGGTGCCAGCATTTGCTGGGGAAGAACTGGTACATTATCAACTAATCCGCCTTCTGCTATTTCTGATTTCCTCCCCAACAGCTGCAGCATTGAATGAGAGCTTCTGCATTTGGGAAGAATTAGAAAGCCTGGTAATGCAGGGTCTCTATTACAGATCCAGCAGCTCACAGACAGGGAGGAGATTTTTGCTGCCGGTGTAGAATTTGGAGTGCTCGGCATTTTATAGCCTGGAAAAATTGTAATTTTCAGCTGTTGTTATGGAGTAATCAATGAAGAGATACCATAGTTTCTGCTGGGTTTCTCTCAGAGCCTGATGTCACTGCATGCAGGAGCTATCATTTTTTTTAATGTGCCACTTTGAGGCTGAAGCACATGCAGTTTTTATTAAAACTTTTTTTTTTTTTTTTTTGTGGTGACTGATGCTCACAGATAGCTTTAGTCCTTCTGCAGTATCTTTGGGTCTGTGCTGATAGCTCCTGGGTTCGATAAACATGTTTGGAGTAAGTTGTGCCTTGCTAGAAAATGGAAACATTATGTTTTAATTATTTTATCTAATCAGTGCTTGGGTTAGGAGTACACGGTGATCGTTTTTTGTCCTTGTCAAGTAGTCTGTGACTTCACCCAAGGATGAGCGTGTCCATTCTGCTCAGTGTGATAAAGGACAGTGTCCCCAGGGAGACCCCAGCCTGCAGAGCAGCAGGGAGAGCTGCTGCACACATGGATGTTATGGTGTGTGTCCTGATGGCCCAGTGCCAGCAAACACAGCCCTGGGAAGAGTGACTTGGTCACACTGCCCTGCTCAGTCCAGTGCCAGTCACTGCCTGCTCTGGAATGGGAAAGGCTGGCTCTCCTCACCAATGGGAGGCATTGCAGTTCAGGCCACAGGGTGAGCAAAGCTGTGTGAGCTCCCTCTGGCACAGCCAGGAGAAGGAGGATGACGTGCGGTTTCAGTTGCAGAAGTGCAGGCTCACTGCTGTTTCCAGAGCAAGGCAGTTGAGTGGAGACAGTTCTGTAGGCTCTCCCTAATTTTAGCTGCAGGAGGCATTCTCTTTTCCATGAAGAGTCACTGCCTTTGAAAGCTGCTCCCCCTGGGAGCTCAGCAGAGCTGAATTTGTCACCGTGCAGTGTCCAGCGCCCGACTCATCCCTTCAGCTCAGCCTTCCCTTGCCAAGTGTGAGGACAGTCAGTACCTGTGTGGCTGGGCATGGAAAACCCAGCCTTGTGACATTTATATGCCAAGATGGGAAGACCTAAAAAGAGGCCTAGGGAGACTGAGCGTGGCATTTGCGGGTACCAGGTTGCCAAGGAGGCATATTGTATTGAAACAGTTGCCTGGGAAACATTTAAAAATACATTGAATGGAAAAGCATATGTGATGTGCCCACAAGTGTTCTGTGTGAATGAAATGCCATGGCTGATGATGGCACCAAGAGACTGTTACTATTACATGTAAAAATGCTGCAAGTGATGTGTGGTTTTTTTTTTTTTTTTTCCTCCCGTGGGTTTTTTCCCTGCCCTGTTTGCAGGAGGTGCACCGAGGGAAGGTTGTTTTGCTCTTGGCTGATGGATTAAAGTGACTGTGGGGAAGGTGGAACGTGCAGGCGGCAGCAGCAGCTGGGGATGGTAAGAGCAATTTGGCTTCATTTAGGCAACCTAAACCAATTGACAAGGAGCCTGCACAATTCCCC